CCTTGTCCAGCAAGTGGCACTGTACCCTGTACTTCATCCCGGGGTTTCCTGCACTGTTCCCTCTGTGTTGGTTACAGCCATTCACTAGTACAGGCACAATGCATAGGTCAGTGTCCTTCCCTCATTAGAGCAGTGCAAGAACACGCTTCTACTGCTTGTTCCAACACTAGAGAAAGAAAAATGTATCAAACGTTACAGGCTGTTTTTTCCTTAGCAACTAAAGCCAGCTCTGGACATACTTTACTTTTTCTGTACTGCTGGATGATGGGAACTGTGCTCTTTGATATGTGATTCTGTAAACAGTTTTTATGGGCAGTGGAAGGTCAGAGTGTGCTTTTCACAGGACTGAGATGCAAGAGCTATCAACCTGGCTAAATACACAGAAGCACTGCTCAAGCTGAAAAAGCAATGTAACCTGATTTTTTTACAGTGCCGCATAGAAATGGTCACTTTATGCTGATAGTAAAACTATTGCTATAATATTTCTTCTTGGGAAAATGGAACTTTCATTTATTTAAATACAGGAGAACTTCCACACATCTTTTGGGTTGAACTACTGCTAATAACACAGTTCTACTTAAACACTCTCCTTACTAGTGTTACTGGGTTAGGTGATTAAGCGCCAGTGGTTACCATGAATTTTGCATGGGTAAAAAAGGTTTTCAATGTCCGAGAATTTCTGACCCAGTGAAGTAGAACTGACTGAGCTATTAGTGGTGCTGGCATCGTTAGCAGAGAGGTTTGTAGTTGGGCAGGGAGCGGAGGAGATGCTAAAATGGCTGGAAAAGAAGGGGAGGATTTACTGCTCTCTGTCCATGCAAAACGACCTGTTAAGCTCAATGACAGGAAAATGCCAAGTGCAAGAAAGCAAGTTATGCTAATGAATCAGAGGAACTTAAGGCCTAGTTTATCGCAGGCAGCTGTGGATAACTTCCGAGCTACCATGGCACTGAATGCTGAAAACATTTGCTAAGTGCTTTGCTATTTGAGAGATGGTTTTCCTTTTCAGAAAAGAGTAAATTCCATGAACTGCCTATGAGAACTTAATCTGTCATTCCTTAACTGTGAAAGGTATCTTGTTATTCCAAGACACTTGAACAAAAAGGAAGTGATACACAAAGGTCACCAATAATTAATCTTTTGTAATGATTCCTAGAAAATTCATGGGTTTGACCCATGACAAAGGCTACTGAGATGCTTCTAAAAAGTGTAATATTTTTACCCTAGTCTTTCAACTACATTGCTCAGAACAAGAATATAAAAATATGTAGCGCTAACTTGTCATTTTTAAGGCATCACTGTCTGAAATTTATGAGCTATGATTGCAAATGCTAAATTTTAAAAAAAAAAGAAAAATCTTAAGAAAATGCAGCAATGTACTAATGCATATTCTTCTAAATATAATTAACTCCCACATCTGTCAAAAAATAGCTCACAGAGAAAACAAACATGGGAAATAATTAGTACAATATTTAAAATCTATAGCTTAAAAAGCAAACTTTGAAATTAATTCTTCACAGTTCTCTTAATCCATACGTTTTCAGTAAATAGAAATCTTCCATTTCTGTAAACGGTATTTAAAGAGACACCTTTTTTTAATCAACACAGGCTGTGCCATGAGTAAACCACACTTCGTGGCTGCAACCATGTTTTTTTCTTTAAACCAGGTTGAACTCCCTCAGGTTTATTTGCAGGATTGTGTCCTTGACAGCAGCAAAGACAAAATGAGTATTTTCCATGTCTGTGGCACAAGTGAAGTGGGAATAGATTCCTTTCTCCTTGTCTGGATTCTCATCCTGATACAGCTTCAAAATGAAGTCTTTGGCAGCTTTGACATCTTGTTTAGGTCCTAGTCAAAAGCAGTTAGTGATTTTTGAACAGATAAAACCCCAGATCAAGGAAGAAATATATGGCTGGTATTGTGACAGGCTAATTTCACATTTAAAGGTGAAATTGCCTTAAAGGCGTATTCCATTATTGGCATTTTCTCATTCATATGTTAGTGGAGCAAAAACTGTTACAATACTGCTTTCTGAAATGTGTGGAATATGCTTTTTTCAACAGTAAACATTACGGGTCAAAGTATTTTTTTATAAAAACCTATGCAAGTGAAATTACCCAGCATATATTAATAGTCGTCTACATTATTGTAGTATGTCAAGGACCATGAGAGAAATTAGATTTTCTAAAACGCGGAGTAAAGAGGAGTCTTTTTGACTAGAGAGGGACGTACATTTTTTCGGTAGCTATTAAATATTATAATTCTTTTCATTCAATGTGATACATGCCTCACAGAATGTATTACTTTCATCATTCTTTTGGTGACTTTTAAGTATCAGTAACATTTGTTAGAAAAGGTACTCAGGCTGCTTTTTAAATTTGGATTTTAGATAGGTAACAAGCAATGAATGCAAAACTACAATTTTTTCTATATAAAGAGTTGGATTAATAGCCATATTCCCAGAGTTTCCCCAGTATCTTGTCTCTTAAGATCAAAGGTGAAAAAGGTACTTCTTCTTGTAAATAAATACTGATTGTGCCACTTTAATGGTAACAGAATGGCTGCAAGAAATCTCTTGAGACTGTCCACAATGCTCCAGTAAAACAAACAAACAAACAACAAAGTTCCAGTAAAACTGAGTAACTTAAGTTTGTATTTTAAGGGACAGAGTAGAAAAGCATGGATATAAAGTCTACTGCATAACTCCACTTTCCCTGTTCAATTTAACAAGGAAAAACTAACTGGTTTAAATATGACTTTTAGCTTTGTGGAAATAGTCTGGGATAAATGCTTGCTTGTGTATTCTGCAAAGTAACTAATTGGATGGGAATACATTATTTTCTCTTCTAGAAGATCTTTTTTATTTAAAAACGGAATGACTGAAGAATTTAGAAACCAGAGATATGTAATGATAGTTTTAAATGAGGCCTTGCTTTCTTCCATTTGATTCTACAAAAACAAAAATGAATATGAAGTTACGCTCTCTAGACAGTAGCATATACAAATTGCATCAGCCAGTGATCATAAAGGATTTTTTGAAAGCTTTAAAAAATTACTTTTATTAACTGTAATTGCAATGCAGTGGTTGATCATGACTCTGCATGTTCTACATCCTTTTACTCTTTGGATTTTGGATCACTGCTATAAATAGGATGATGCATCTGAAATCAAGATAAGCCTTAATAATAGAAATTATTTGAATTCTTGTTCGAGTTCATGAGCAGCTGTGGACAGCGGCCCTGTGAAAGGCTGTTCTGACCTCAGGCAGAGCTGAAGCAGGTTGTACCAGGTCAAATTCCCAATGTTAACATACTGTAACATAGGACAAAAGTATATGTACTCATCTATACTAGTAATAAAGTCTGTCCACTTCAAGAGACATCTAAGAAACACCACATTTAGCAGTAGCTGTTCGGAGTTCCGGGGGACAAACTTGTGATAGTTCAGTATTTATTTCCTAATGTCCAAAGTGAGCATAACAGAATGTTCAGCATGGTGAAAGGAAAAAAAAAATTACATTTACTGAAGTTGTTCATGCATCAAAAGATGAGGGGAAACTTTGAAAACTCTATCTCAGCTACAATGGATGTAAGCAAGTGAAGCAGGGTATGCTTTTCACAGTTCAAACACATGTTGAGAAAGTTATCTGTAAGGGCTCTGGGACTTTGGAGTTCAAATGGTATTAAATGTTTTTGAAGGACATATGAAGGAATCCTATACTGCAAGATGTAAAGAAACCACTACCAAAAGGAAGGCAGTTCCACTAGTGTGCCTCTCTCTAATTGCCTACCGTTTTCTTTTTGCATCCTTCTCTACAACATCTGGCTAACTGCTGACGGAGAGAAAGGCGAACTCATATTTTCTAACCTTGGGAAGGAAGTAAATTTTAAGTTATTCTAATCTTTCTCAATTAATGCACAGGTTAATTCTGAAACATCAGAGACTTAAAAAAAAAACAACCTATGACTAAGGTAGTTTTACTTGCTCAGAAATATTGCTGATACATTCTCTAACAGTTGACATGGCTTAAGTGATTTAAAATGTTTTTAAATTATGTTTTATCTGTTAAGGCAGAATTCAATTTTACAGGCAGGCTGGTAATTTAATACAACTTCGAGACTGCTTGATCAGCTTCATAATGTAATTCTAGTATTTGCCAGTGCTTTTATGAAGACATGTGAAAGCTGTCTTTCTCAAAAAGCACACATAATTTTTACACTTTTATTTAGATACCCCCACTCCTTACCTCTTTGTCACATTCTGCCAAGACTTGATCATATTCACTTAAAGCTACCAAGAAAATTATGGAAGTAACACTTTCAAAGCAATGGATCCACTTCCTTCTTTCTGACCTTTGGCCACCTACATCCACCATCCTGTTAAACAGAAATAGAGTCAAAATATTAGTCATTTTCATAAAATATTTCAAGTATATTCAAAGGTCTTATAATAGATCATCTACCTGAGATAAGCTTGAATGGTACCTTGTGCGTTCGGTTTAATATTTAAACTTTATTCAGATGCTGTAGTGCTACAACTTCCACTGTTCTTTTGTGTTGTGGATTAGTCCCAGTGGGAAGCTCAGCACAATGCAACTGCTTGCTTACTACTGTGCCACACCATGGGTGAACAGAGGGAGAGGAGAGGAAGTGTAAAAGCAAGAAAATGTGGGGCTTGAGATTAAAAACATAGTAATTGTTTAATAAGTGAAGGATAAGTGGAAGAGGAGATAAAGAATACAAAACAAATGATGCAAAGCCAATCTCTCACCACCTCCCATGGGCCCAACTAGTTACTGATGTCCAACCTCCCTAAAGCTCCCTCTTTTCACTTTTATCACTAAGCATGACATGATACGGTGTGAATATGCCCTTGGTTAGTTCAGGTCATCTGCCTGGCTGTGTCCTCTCCCAGCCTCTTGTGCACTCCCAACCTATTTACTGGAGGGTCAGAGAAACAAAGAAAGACTTGGCACTGTGCAAACACTGTCCAGCAAAAGCTAAAACACGGGTGTGTTATCAGTACTGTTTTGGTTACAAATCTAAAACACTGCACTATATCAGCTGCTATGCAGAAAATTAACTTTATGCCAGCCAGGCCCAGTACAAGTGTATAAGCCACTTGAGGAACAATACAAAATATAATTCTGGCTTTTGTTCTGTGTTTGTAGAAGTTTCAGCAAAGGCAGATGTGAACACATTCAATTTTGTTTACTCACACACTCCAAATTCTCCCTTGCTTCCCCCCCACCAAGAGTCCCAGTGTAGTCATATTTCACTCCTCAAAGCAATCAAAATGCTTACAAATATCCTACTTCCACATCAAATTCCTGTGGTGTTGCAAACAGTCAAGTTAGTCCCTCACATTTTATCCAGCTCAAAATGTTCCCTAGATCATACCATTTCCAGAAAAAAAAAGATAACCCAAAACCAAACAAAAAAAACCAACACACACACACACACACACACACACACACACACCCACACACACACACCCACCCCCGCCACCCAAGACCTCTTTTAATTAAACTAGTATTTCAGAATACACAGCAATTGGGCTGCTTGAATTGAAAAGCTTTTCTCATGTAAAGTACATTTAAAAAGGAACATTTTGAAACACCACTCAAGTTACTGTATTAACTTTGGAGGCTAAAAGGGCTGGAAATACATACAACACTCATTGAATGCAAAAGCGTAAAGGACCTTAAAAGTAAAGTTGCAGCAACTACTTTCATAATTGCATACTGAATCATTTGACAGCAGTCTTACCTAAATATAATATTTTCTAAATCAAAAGGATACTCATAATCCCTGTAGTTGGCACTCGGACTCTAAGAATATCTTGCTGAGTTGGCACAAATGAAGGCCCAGCAATATGATCAAGGTCAGTAAAATAACTGAAAAGTTAAACATACAACAGAAATAAGATTAATCACAGAGATTCAAAATCGAAGTACCAACCAGCAATCGAAGAAATACTCACAGAAAAGCAGCTGAACAGAAATTTAGTTTCATGTCAGGCCATGCAGTCATGCTTAATTTCATCCTCCTTTAGTCTTGTGCTTTTCATGGCCGGGATTAAATTCTAGGATGACATTCCTGTGCCTCAATAAACGAGCAGCGTGTGAGCAAGAGAAAATGAACCGATGCCTGGTATTCCTCTCTGCACTCTATCTTCCCACCACTAGAAGGCAACATTAGATCATCCAAAATCCTAACAAGGCATACAAAAAGTATAAGGTGCACTCCAAATCAGACATCACGGTTGTAGCACAAATCTTCCTTTATATAAGTGCTAATTGCCCCTTTTTCCTTTGGTGGAAAAGGGAGTGTGTTGATGTATTCTCCCCTTGCTGCTCAAACATCACTCACATTTGGGGTCTAAAATCAAAAATACTTACATTAATGTTACCACTTACGTGGAAAAGATTTCTCTTAAGCATAAGGAAACTCCTCCACTCCAGCAATGTAGCAAATTGCTACTGAGATATTAATTGTAATTAACAGTAAAAGAAAGATTTAATAAAATTTAAAATAAAACTGATTTTCAGTTGTGGAAGATTTCTTAGAAAATGAGGCTACAGTAGACCATTAAGTGGCACTCTTTTCCAATTTAGGATTATTTAAGAATAAGGCAGACAAACTTCTGTCAGGAATCATAATGCTTAACACACATGAATAGACTGCCTATGTATAACCATTCTGAATTAAAGTTTTCCATAAATGCCTAATCTAAATGTTTCTTGCTGAAATTTAACCCTGTTACTTCTCAACCTTGGCAGAAACAGAAATATAAATTTTCTGTTCTCATGAAACAATCATCTTTTCACAATTAAATTCTTTGAAAATTGTGGGAGAGACTTATCTTCATTCTTATTTATATCCTCCTAAACTTTTCACATGACTGAACTGACCTACTCACTTGTCAATATATTTTGTACAGCTGTGTGTCATGATTTCTCCCAACGGAAACTCAGTTATGCACCAGCTGTGTTGACCTCAGAACTGGGAGGGACGATGGTTCCAGTATGTTCAGAAAGCCTAAAATTAGTTTCTCCCATCACTCCTGCTTAGAATTGGTTGTGTACCACAGGCCAACAGAGGCACAGGTATAACTAATAAAATCAGAGTGAACTTGTCTCTTCATTATGAGCCAGGAGCATGCCCAGGTGGCCAAGGCGGCCAATGGCATTCTGGCTTGTAACAGTGTGGCCAGCGGAACTAGGGAACTGATTGTTCCTCCTGTACGCTGCACTGGTAAGGCAAAACCTCAAAAACTCACTACAAGAAAGATGCTGAGGTGCTGGAGTGCACCCAAAGAAGCTGGTGAAGGGTCTAGAGCACAAGTCTTACAAGGAGCAGCTGAGGGAACAGGGCCTGTTCAGCTTGAAGAAAAGAAGGCTCAGCTGCCTTCTGAGGTACCTTCAGTACTGCTCTCCACAAATACCTAGGAGGTTGTAGTGAGGTGGGGGTCAGTTTCTTCTCCCATGTAACTAGTGATAGGCTGAGAGGAAATGGCCTGAAGTTGCACCAGGAGAGTTTTAGATTGGATATTAGGAAAAATCTATTAACCAAAAGGGTTGTCGAGCTTTGGAACAGGCTGCCCAGGGAAGTGGTGGACTTGCCCTCCATGGACGTATTGAAAAGACCTGTAGATGCAGATGTGGCACTTAGGGACATGGTTTATTGGTGGACTTGGTAGTGTTAAGTTAAAAGTTGGACTTCATGATCTTAAGCATCTTTTCCAACCTAAATGATGCTGTGATTAACTTAATTAAAAGTCTGACTTGTCCTTATAATTATGCAGTGTACTTACTACTTAGCAGAGTCTGAGAGCTGGTACTCCCTCCGTCTGTCATAGCATTCTTGAATTGCTGGGTCTTCCCAGAGCTTCTTGATTGCTTCAAATTGTTTTCCTTCCAGCATTGTCACTTTATCCACTTCCACTTCTTTGATCATCTGAGCACTCTCCTAATCAATTAAATGATTACACTATTGTGAGAAAAGACTGTTGCTGGTATGCAGCACACTCTATATGTGGTATATGCTCCCCTTTATTATACTCTTCCCATCAATGAGATGAAACATCAGAAAGGAACCCAGGAGAAAAAAAGCAGTTTTAATCCTTGAATGCATTTAATTTTTCAAGTCAAATGACTATGTTTTAACCAATTTAGTCTGGCTTACTGTCATCCAGGTGTGATTTTTATTTTTAAAACCTGACAAATATCAGGAGCACTAAACCTACAAATTTTAAAATCACTAGATTTTAATACCAATTTGTAACAGTGGTAATGTTTCTAAAATTCTAGGTACTTTCTTCAGTACAGGTAGTTTTGGTATGTTTCTTCATTTGGTTTGTTTCAGGACAAACCAGAGGCTGACCTAGCATAAACATTCATCAAGCAGGCAACAAATTCCTACAAGTCATCTTCTGTTTAATGTCCATCTTAGTGAGATACAGCCAAGGTACTACTCTAAGGAAAGAAATAATTTTTCTTTGCTGTCTGCTTTGAAGTGTAAGAAGTATTGCGAAGATAAATTTTGCTTTCAAGGGGCACAGAAGAATCTATCATTCTGCCATGTGTGGTGCAGTTGATTCGCTTGAGGAAAAGAATGCCATCCAGAGGGACCTTGACAGTCTTCATGACATTCAACAAGGCCAAGTGCAAAGTCCTGCACATGGGTTGGGGCATCCCCAACATCAGTACAGTCTGGAGGATGAAGGGATTGAGAGCAGCACTGTGGAGAAGGACTTGGAAGTACTGGTAGATAAAAAATGTCACAAGCCAGCAATGTGCACTTGCATCCCAGAAATACCTGTGATTATATATGGCAACAGATTTAGAGACCCCGTGTCCTGTAAGTAACTTTTCTCCACATTTTCAACCTTATCTTGTGAAAGACATGCAGGATTCTTTGTATTATGAGTAAAGCCTCCTTCAATTCACTGAAGTCACAGAACAGATATCCTTTTCTAGAGGAAAGAAAGGGCACTGACACACACTCATCACAGCATTTTGACTGAGGTTGACTTGGGCTTCATTCCATGCTAAAACTTTGCATGGTTCTAAGAGGGCTTCATGTAGTTGTACTGCAACATGAGCTTTGATATCAGGTCCTTGTGAAAAGAAGTATTTTTTAAGTGTTTACACCTGCAAAACTCAGTCCTCTTAGGTGGCCATGTGACATCAATAAAAATCCTTTTTGGGAAAATAATTCAGATTATTCTTTCATTTCATAGTATATAACAAATAGAGTTCAACACTGACAGCTACTTTCATGCTCATAACGGAAAGAAAAAAAATCCTACAAGTAAAAAATTACTTAAAGCACCAAGTGATTTTATTATCATTCCATAGGCATGTCATCCTCAGTAAACAGGCATATTACTAATAAAAAAACTTTGGTATGAATTATGGATAGATAATATGGCATGAAAGCAAGATACAGAAAATTTCAGTTTCCTTAAAATGCAGTCTTCAGGATAAATGAGTAACCTTAGGAGACAGTGTACAACAATCCAGACAGGATCTGATGGAAACACACTCTAAGATGTCCTTAGAAGCGGCAGAAAGTCCTTCAAACTGGGCAGCAGGAGAGACCTGTATTTTCTATACTGGGAAATATCATCATTTTAACTAAAAAGCAGAAGTCACGTGGTTTTGTGTGTGTCTGCACATATGTGTAGCAATTTATTACTAAGAGCAAACTTTCCTCATAAGTAACAACCAGAACAATGCCAGCTATTTCAACCTCTGACTGCTGTAATGATTGAAGCAAATGATTTTTCTATGAAATTGTGCTGACATGAGAAAACATATAAATGTAAGATAGTCTTATAATAGGAAATGGATTATTTGTTTTACATCTAGTTTTAAGTAATATTGATTGTCAAACATTGAGTGAACATCTGAACATTTGGGGACATGGTTTATAAGTGGGCATGGCAGTTAATTAACGGTTGGACTTGATCTTAAAGGTCTTTTCCAACCACAATGATTCTATGATTCTATTATATTAGCTATAGATTAATTGCAAGATATTCTGTGTTGTATTCACGGTCAGCACAAATATTAATTGAAACTGAACTGAAATTTTGCAAGCCATGCCAAAATTAACTAAGCCCCCAAACTCTATGCATATTTTTTCCAGTGCATGATAAGAACCGGTTCTGGTAATCAGGACTTTTAAAAAAAATTGTTGTATCTAACACATTGAAGGATTTTTGCTGATTACTGGAAATAAGTGGCCTTTCACTCTATCACAAACTATGAAAGCTAAATAAATTTTCTAACCCACTGTAGCTCTTTAAGCTAGTTTGACATCTGACCACAGGTTTAAATGTCCTTTGTTTCTTCTGGTTAAATACTAGATAGGGTAACTGAATTATGTAAGATGCCCCATAAGGCTCACAGGGCTTTTAGTATTTTGCTGAAGAATTCTAGAAAAGGGTTATAATGTCTTGTCAACAGTTAGTAATAATATAAGTTTACATTTTAACAAATATATTTTGACACTGCCAACAGCATATCATAAAAGTTGCTCAAATACCATGAAGCTTTATAATGGAATTTTGTCAAGAAATGGACTTCAGTGTTTCAAGTGGACAGGATTGTATTTTAGAACCTTCCTCTGCAACTCAGAAGAACACCGGAAATTTAGTTTTCATTTTCCTCAAAGCAAGGGTGGAATTTTCTAGAATTCTCACCACTAAGAAGTTAGCCTAATAGATGCTGTGGAAATATGCAGCATTGTAATACATGAGCAGTAGGTGCTTTAAAGAAAGAACAGAAAGGGCTCAGTAAGATGAAAACAAAACAAAACAAAACAAATCTACAATTATTACAGACTGAAAAAAAGGAACAAAGAGGGGAAATGCAAAACAGCACAAGCACATGTTACCAAATGTCGCGCATAATTTTTTTTTAATTACATACAAGCAAAAAATTAGTTCCAGAATTCACTCTTAATTAAAATATGTGTAGCACATTATGCTCTCTCTAAATAGAGTATAAGCAGGAACAGCAAAACTTGCATTAAAAGTGCTATAACACTTACATTAAAAATCCCTATTCTGAAGTTACTTTACTTCAGTCTAATATTCTTTAAGTAAACCTCTGCTTCTTAATGACGTGGTGCAGGTAGAGAAAAGAATACACATGATAAAATAAGGGTAAGTAGTTTTGGATACAACAGAAGTAGGAGAAGATACTTGTGGCATTAAGAAAAAAAACAAACCAACAACACACCATAAAGCAAAACCAAAACCCAAACCTTTTGATTCTGGAAAGAAAACTAATCATGGATAATAAAGACAGTGGCAAAACCATTCAGCAAATACATGCAAAACCTGTGACTAATCTGCTTAAAATACTAAAAATCTATTACATCATTCTCCAAACTTAATCCTCCAATTAAAAGGCAACTGATGGTGTATAACAAGCAATGCTTCAAGGTTCAATTGTTAACCTAGTTTTATCAGAAACATATACTAAAAAGAAATAAAATAATCAAGAGAGGTCTTGAATATGCCTTTTTCACTTCACACGGAAACACCACTGGGTAAAAGCAGCTTTCTCATCTTTCTCAAAAGTGCCAAGAAACATGCACAAATGACAGCCAAATAAGTTTAATACTAAATGCAATTTGTAGTAAGGACAAATATTTGACAGGCAAAAAATGGATAACACCAGAAGTGACAACTGTAATTTTTTAGATAGATGAATAAATTTTATCTCCAGCTATTACATGCAATGCATAGAACCAATTATTTCACTAAAGTTTCTTTTTTGGAAGGTCTGAATTTCTACACTTGGAAAAAAAAAAGTTTATTTGATACCTTGCAACTCTGTCATATTTCTTAGAAAAGTAAATCTAAATAGAACCCAAAAATGGCTCTATGTATTACCTTATGAAGCTCTTAATGAATTCTTCATATGAATTCATATATATATTTATTTTTACGCCCATAACCTAGGTCATTACTCCTTTAAAAAGCTTCCTGAGAATAGTGGCCTGTTTTGGAGCAATAACTACTGAAAGTGTTTCCTAGATGTACAATGGTAAAGACAGGAATTATTCATTCTAAACTTTCTGTGAAAATTAATGAAACTCTTATTTTTATAAGCATTTATATTTTATGATCTTTCACTTCACTTTCATATACCAAGTCCTTCCTCATTTAGCTGGATAAAACAAACTAATAAAAACAAAATAAAAAAATTTTAAAAATCTAAAAAATTTTGGTTAAAAAAGAAAAAACTAAATAAAAACTAAATAAAAGTAGTATGTGGAACATACAGCAAGGTTTGTCACAGCAAAGAGAGGATCACAGGAAGGGACACAAGTGGTTACAGAGTACTGGGAGGCTACAAGAACAGACAGTTAAGGGTCTGTACTGCTCCAGAAAGACATTATTTATCAAGAGACTCTTAGCTACAGCAGCTTAAGTTTTCCTACTGTGCGAACAGTAAGTTTGTGAGTATCACTGGACATGCTTTATATCTCTAAACATTTTTACTTTCATGGTGCCACTGAAATATAGACTATATCTCACTACAGAAAATGTAGAAATATGCAATTAAATACTTGCTTCTTCTTCATACAATTGTTAGGCCAATAAGCAGAATTGCTTCTGGGCAGCATAATGTAACATATTTAGGAAGTCATTGTGATTTACTAAAATCATGTTTGCATTGATATTAATCTAATTTTTTGAAACAGTCCCATCAGTTAATTTCACACAATGAATAGGGTGTGTAGTTTCTAAAGAAACCAAAAACTAATGCAAAAAACTGGAAGGGAAAAAACCCACCAACTCCCCCACCCCAAAATTTTATAATTCACTACAATAGGGATAGGAAGCTGCTATTACTAGGCGTTGCATAATTTTAGTAGAAGCTAACTGATTAACAAATGACATATTAAGTCTTACTGAGAAGTTAAACGAATTTCAATTCTGGTGGCTT